CAATGCATGTTGGACTGCCAAAATGAGCTTGGCACAAAAGTGACATTTTAAATGCATTATATGTTTGTTAAAATTCCAATCAGGTGGGGACAGAATTGTATTTCTAATGCATTCTGATTATAGCATTAATGCATCTGTGAAAATAAAACATTCAAAACACCCAGTATTCATGGAAAGGCCCCCCTAGATATCTCTTGAACTGCTTTGAAAGGGTCTGTTATATTTATGTAAGAATTCTGGATACAGCAAAATCTGATCTGTGTGATTTATGCAGCTGTCTGCAGACAGGGTTTCAGATTGGTTGTATTGTTGGCATCTGCATAGATTTTTCCAGAAGCAGGGAGATTGGGATACTGGATATCAGAGGGGGATATTCACACCCCTCCCGGCAGATCACAGTGGGCACGCTTACAAGACGTTTCCAAATGCTGGTTTCAAATTAGGAATGCAGAAAATATAGCCCACTCTATATGATACAAATGAATACTGATGCCCGCCATATGATTCTCTCTACATGAATATATTACATAAGGACCTCTAAGTAATGTATACCTTTTTCAAGTCAATATATCAAAGGGGTTTCTTGACCTGAGGTATTTGCTGTGTTTTGCTCTCTGTATAGGGGTGAAGAAAACAGGTGGCCAAGATGTCTGAGTGAGTATATGAATATATCAGTTATTTACATTTACTATCAAACAAATGGGAATCTGTTCTTGTTTTGCTAAATTGTAATTCCTTCATCCTCTCATGACAGCAAAAAGATGACATCGAGTCGCAGGCACCATCTCAAGGTAGAGTAAATAATGCACAGATGTCTTTAATATAATGTGTATTAAGGACCCGATGTAATCAGTATTTCACTTTGTGGCCTTTAGTATAATATAATATAAATTTATAATATAATTGTCACAATATGCTGTCAGAAGGAACGATGGAGACGCAAAGTGGCTTTAATCTTTAATCAAGGAAACACGGGGGATAATCCACATCAGGAATAGGGGTAAACTCATGTAATCCAACATGTAGATCCGACAAAGACAGAATGCAAATGCTGAGACTTAAATACATGGGGTAATTAGAACTAACCAACAAGACACACCTGAATTAAATTAACCAATCAATGAGAGGGAGAAACTGGGTCACGGAGCACATGGGGAGGGAAAACACAACAAAGACAGTCCAGGGGCGTGATATATCGCCCCCCTCGCGCCAAAGGTACAACACAGGCAGGGACGGGTGGGACCTTGGGAGGAGGACGACAGAAAGAGTCCAGGGCAGATCAGACGGAGGGAGGAGCCAGGGAGGAAACAGGAGGGATTTGGAGCATGCGGTGCCAGGTGGGACCCAGGCCACAGCCATAATGGCGACCCATGGTGGAGCCGACGGAGGAAGGAGCCAAGGTGGAGGAAGGGCTGACTACTCCAGGGGGGCGACCAACTGCGGCGGAGGAGCCCGAGGCGGAGATGGAGAGCCGATGAGCCAGGGCGACGGGGAGGAACCGGAGGGCCAAGCCGGAGCGACAGAGGACCGAGGAGGAGCCGAAGGGATGGAGGAGCCTGACACAGCCGGAGGAGTGGAGTCCCGAGGTGACGAATGGTTGACGACAGACCAAGGCGGAGCCAGAGGGACGAGGGAACCCGGCGGAGCCAGTGGACTGATGGGCCAAGGCGGAGCGGAGGGAGCTAGGAGCCATGGTGGAGCCGCAGAAGCGGGTGGTAGGGCGGGCATTTGTGAGCCACCGGGCTTTCAGGGTTTAACTCAGGAACGGGAGCCCTCTATGGGCTGGACGGGGGATCAGGAGCCCCCTCTGGGCTAGACATGGGAACAGGAATTTTATCTGGACTAGACATGGGTACAGGAACTTTCTCTGGGCTAAACTCAGGAATGGGAGGGACAGAGTTCACCGACGGAGGAGGAGGAAAGGGGGCAGGTCGGTATACAAGTCAATTAAGTTTTCCTCAGCTTTGCATTCCCCCAAATCCTTACTCACCCTCCGCGCTCTCTCTGTCCACCGCTTTCTCCCTTGTGGCGAGCTCTGTTGCCGGCTCTCGCACCTGGACTGACGTCATGAGCAGCTCCGACTCCGCGGCGATCCTCAGCTCTGTCACTCCATGTGGCGATGGCTCATCGGCCGCGTCGGTTTCGGGCTCTCCATCAAGAGGGTGGGCTGGGCTCTGGGTCTGGCTTTGTTCCAGATCGGGGGTAGACACTCTCCAGACACCGGATGAT